CGGGTGTCCCTCAGCCCATCCATCTCCGGGGGAAGCAGCTGCCGGTGACACGCGGCACCGCCTGGCACGTCCCCAAGGCTGGCACGGGCAGGGGGACACCAGCTGTGACATTTGAGAGCCTGTCACTGCCCCCGGCCGGCATCTGGCCTTTGGGGACGGGGGCTGACCCCGGGTGGCGTCACCGTCCCCGGGTGGCTTCGTGTCCCCCTCCCCCCTCGCTGCTTTGGGGACATTCCGGTGTCCCCAAATGTCACCTCCGGACAAAGCGGTGCCAGCAGCTTCATCCGCGGGGGCTGAGCGTCACCGGGGTGCTGGGACATCCCTGGGGGGGGGGTTCAGGATGCGGCCCCAGCACGGCACCGTCCCCACGCGTCCCCCTTTCCCTTCCCGAGGGGGTGAGCGGGGTGGGGGCACCCAGCACCCATGGGTGCCCTCCCCGTGCCACCTCCCGTAACCTCCTGCTCCTCCTGTCCCCAGAGATCGATGAGGACCGGCTCCCCAACCCCCTGCTGAAGGTAGGCGCTGCCAGAGGAGCCCCCCAGCACCCCAAGGTGCCCCCCAGCACCCCGGGGTGCCCCCCACCACCTTGTCACCCCCCCTTCTGTCACCCACCTCCGCTTGCTTTGCAGTCGGGTCTGGCCATGTCCCCCAGGCAGAGGAAGAAGGTGTCCCGCACCACCCCCACCATGAAAGGTACCGGGGGGGTGACAGTCCCCTGGGGGTCTCAGGGGACACGCGGTGGCCTGGCTGTGTCCCCCTGTGGTGCCACCACCTTGGGGACAGGGGACACGGGGACACAGAAATGGGGGGGCACACAGCAGCCCCCATCGGGGGGACATTTGGCTGCGCCACCGCGGTGGCACGGGGACAGGGGGGTCCCTGCAGCGGGAACACCACAATGGGGACACGGGGGGGGCTTGGGGACCTGCTGTCCCCAGCGTGCCGCTCGCTGCCTTGCAGAGCTGCAGATGATGGTGGAGCACCACCTGTGCAAGCAGGCGCAGGGGAGGAGGAGGAGGAGGAGGAAGCAGCCGCCACCGCCGCCAGCCAGGAGCACGGCCCCGGGTGCTGCCACCACGGTGACAGCGGTGACACACGAGCACAGCCACAGCCCCGGGGGCGCCCGTTATCCAAAGGTAATTCCCACGCTGAAATATTTTCCCGTGGTGTTTTCCACACCCAGCATCATCCCAGCGGGTACCGTGCCCCGTTCCCACAGGGATTCTGAGCAAAATGCACCCACGATGTGGCCACGGGTGGGTGTTTGCACAACAGCATCACGAGGGCCAGGCATCGGGTCCCTCCACGCTCACCCTTTCAGGGGACTTTTGGCCTTGCCCAAGGGATTTGCCCAGCATCCTGCATACCAGGGGGGGCTCTGACCTGGCTGGGGCTGGTTTCTGAACCCCTCCCGCCAGCCCGAGGTAGGAAACCTTAAGGAAACAAGCCAAGCATGGTCAGAGCACCGGTGCTGGAGGCAGGCGGCCGTGGATCAGTGTATTTATGGCCGCAGGCAGTCCATTCATCTGCAAAAGCCTTATAAAGAATCCCTAGCAATCACCTACAAGCAGTGCTGCTTGTTAATGGGTATTAGCTGTGACCTCGAGATTTATGTCCCGCTCCCCGCAGGATTGCCGAGCCTCTGCAAAGCAGGGCAGGGACGCACGGGGAGCCGGCGTCGCCGTCCGTCAGTCCGTCAGTCTGGCTGAAAATCACAGCCCGGGGGCAGAGCCGGCAGCGGGGGTCTTCTCCCAGCTGGGGGTCTCCTCTCCTGGGGGTAGGGCGCCTTGGCACCCCAAGAGCACCAGGAATTTCTCCTGGTTGGTATGAGTGGGTGATGGAGAGACGGCGAGATGGGGACAGATGGATGGAGAAGTGGCACGTCCCCTTCCTCCAGGAGCAGAGACCTCCAGCAGTCGCACAATCACCCCGATACCCAAAAGCAGCCATGCGTGGGGGGCGTGGGGACCCCATCCCGAAGCACCCCTCTCCCATCCGTGGGCACCACAGGCACACAGGGGTCCTCTCCTCCCGATTCACAAGGAGCCCAGCACCCATGGGAACGCATCCCAAGGCTGCATCCTCTGCATCGTGCTGAGCAAGGTGGGAGGAGGAGAGGATGCTGGCGCCAAGCCCTGCCACACGGACCTTTGCTCGGGGCCAGAGAATGGAAGCAAATTGCAAAACAGCAGGAAAAGAAAAAAAAAAATCAACCACCATGTCTCCTCGTCCATCCGCTCGTGGGAGCAGACAGACTCCTGTCGTATTAATATGAGCCAGCCTGGGAAGAGGAGAGGGAACATCTTTATCTCTTCCATTAGGTGATACCTTGTCCTCTCTCTCTTTTATGGCTCACGACTGCTTTGCTCCTCTCCGCAATTCCCCCTTTGTTCAGCGCCGCCAGCGGGTCCGCGCGCCGCAGCGGCTGCGCGGCAAAAGGAAAGCCACTGAAGCATCTCGAAATATAATTAGAAATCTAAATATGACACCGCTGTTGCACTCCGAGACCTGGCACCATAAAACACCCGGGCTGTGATTTGTAAAAGCCGCGGCGAGCCGCGCCGTGCCGGCCAGCACAGGATATACACCCCGCCACCCCCACGGCTGAAGTTCATGATGGCTTAAAGATTACCCGGGAGTTTTCAATTACCTCCTATTAATGTATTTACTCGGCGTATCTTTTATCAAGCTAAAAGTTGTTTTATTTTTTGCTCGGAGATGCCTTGACTTTCCTAAATGGCACATATTTCAATATTAAAGCCGCTTACCATCATCGCGGGCGTGAGCGATGCCTGCGAGGCGAGGCGGCTGCGCCCGGCGTCTCCCGGCGTTTAATTAAGTGGGTGTTCAGCTTCGCCCAGAGCCATTCGTTAGGGACGGTCATTGATGAACCAGTGAGTGAAGGAGGCTCCGGGAAGGGCCTCCAGTAGAGGTGAGGCAGCACAACGGGGTGGAAGGCTCCATCCCCTCTTCATCCTCCCCAGCACGCTGTGAGTAGCCACTTTCCCTGCCTCAGTTTCCCCTTTTGAAGCCCAGCTCAGCCCCTGCCTTGTGTTTCTCCAGAGGTTGCCCCACTTTGGTGCAATCTGGGATGCAAGCGCTGGGTTCTCTCTGCTTTGAGCCGAAATGAGTTGAATTCTACCCAAATGGGGGAGCCCGTCCTGCTGGGGCTGGGCTGTGGGGTGGTGTCTTTTTGGGGTTTGTTGGGAAGCTGATGGGGGCAGTTTTGGGTTAGGGGAGAAAGTCCTCAAAGGTCTCCTAAGATGCGCTGCCCGTCCTAGGGCCCTTTTCCATCATCCCAGAAGATGGATTTGGTGATTTCACATGAAACCCATGAGTTTCCCGCTGCCTCCTCCCTGGGCACCAACCACACCAAGCAGCCACACACGAGAGCCTTCCCCCACCCATCGGGACCTCGTGTTTTTGTGCTGAAACCCAGTGGCTGCACCAGCATCAGAGCAATCTGGGGACCAGACCAGCCCCAAAATCCCCTCCAGCTCCGAGCAGGGGGTCCCAAGAAAGGATTTTCCATCATCCCCCACCCTTAGGCTTGATGCTGAGTCCCTGCCGGTCGCACAGTCATTTGGGGGCAATTCACTGAAAAAAAAAGGGGCTGAGGACAACATGTGGCTGGCAGCGATGTGCGGAGCCGCTGAGGAACGAGCTGTTGAAAGCCGAAATGGTTCTGGTGCAGATTCATCCAGAAAGAATCCAAGCCGAGTGAATATCTGGACGGGGCCGGGAGCCGTTTCCATTTCTGAGCCATTTTTCATTGCATTGTGGCGGCATTTTTGAGCCTTTTATCAAGTACAGAGAAGAGAGAACAAGTCCGAGGCAGAACCGAGCGATTTCACCACTGAGCCGCGGGGAGGAGGTCCTCTGTGCTGGCTTTCCCTTGGCTTCCTTTTTTTTCAGGGTTTTGTTTGCCCATAGGAAACTCTTTTTTTTTTTTCTGTGCTTGCTCCACTCTGTTATTTTTTCCTCCGGCACGGGGCACGGTGCCCCAGCCCTTTTTTGCCTGGCCAAATCCTGCCGTGCTTCTGCCACGCTCCGTTGGCCAAGCCTTCGTGGAGGTCTCGAAGCTGATGCCTCGGTGGCAGCGTAAATCCACACGTGGATGCCTGCAGAGGTGCCCAGCTCCTTGGAGAGCCCATCGGGATGTAGCCAGGCTGGAGATGTTGCTGTTGCCCAGAAGGTCCCAGTGGTGCGCCCATGGGTTTGCCCGAAGCTGAGGACCCCAGTGGTGCGCCCATGGGTGGGCGCAGCTCAGGTGGAAGCATCCCAAGGGAGGTGGCTGTGTGGGTGGGCCTGCTGGGGACTTTATCCCACCATGGAACCCATCCCACTATGGGTTTCATCCCACCACAGGACCATGGGACCCATCCCACCACATGTCCCACCATGGGAACCATCCCACCATGAGACCCATCCCAGCACCCTCCCAAGGACCCAGGTGAGTCCCAGCCCAAAAGCCCTGAGAAACCTCCAGCATCACCCTCCCTACTCCTTTAGGGAGAAAAACCACAGATGATTACACCACCGCCACCAAAAAAAAAAGAAAAAAAAGAAAAAAAAAAAGATAATTACCCACCACACACACAAAGGAGAACCCAAAAAGACGTTGCTGGTTTTTAAATGCCACAAAACTGCACAAGAGACAGATTCTTCTCTCATTTCTAAATGATGAATTGAACAAAGAAATGATCTGCAAGAATGGGAATCTCAGTATCACTTCCAAGTAAAACAATCATCAGAAAATCAAAATACGGTATTTGCTTCATCTTTTTTTCTTTTTTTTTCTTTTTCTTTTTCTTTTTCTTTTTCTTTTTCTTTTTCTTTTTCTTTTTCTTTTTCTTTTTCTTTTTCTTTTTCTTTTTCTTTTTCTTTTTCTTTTTCTTTTTCTTTTTCTTTTTCTTTTCTTTTTTTTCTTTTTCTTCTCCTTCTCCTTTTCCTGTTTCCTTTACCCTTTTTTCTTTTCCCTCCCGACCAGCTGCTCTCTGTCCCAGCCCCAGCTCAGCCCTGATGCGTGGGATGCAGACTCTCCTAGGCCAGCAGCCAGTCCCAGGCTCTCAGTGTTGCTCTGGGCCCTTTTCTCACTTTTTTTCTCCTCATTTCCTTCTGTAGGATGCATTCCTACAGGATCTGTTCCTATACGATACATTCCTATAGGATCTATTTCTCTACAGTGCTACAGCTTCTGTACCTCTAGGATCCATTCCTAAAGAATTCATCCCTACAGGATCCTTTTCTCTGGGATGCACAGCTACAGGATCTAGTTCTGTAGGACCCATTTTAGGATCTATTCCTATGAAATCCATTAACCTGGGATCCATTGCTAGAGATTCTGTGCCTCTAACATCCATTCCTAAAGCACCCCTTCCAATAGGATCTGTTTCCCCAGGATGCCTTCCTAGAGGATCTGTTCCTATAGGATCTATTCCTATAGGACACATTCCCACAGGATCTGTTCCCATAGGATCCATGTCAATAGGATCTGTCCCTGTAGGATCCAGGATGCACTTCTCTAAGCCCCATTCCTATGCGATCTCTTCCTATGAAATGTGTTCCTATGGGATCTGTTCCTGTAGGACCTGTTACACCGGGTGCATTCCTTTAGGATCCGTTCTCCCTTCCCGTGCTTGTCCCTGGGGTCTTCAATTCCTGCTGATGGGGCTCAGGCTGAGTTTAGGGAGGTGACACTGACCAGGGACAGGTTTGGGACCAGCAGGCAGGGTTTCAGCCCACTCTGACCCCTTGCTAAAAAAACCCAAATGCTGTCCCGGGAGCATGGCCAGGCCTGTGAGCAGAGCGCTCTGCAAAGATCCCGACGTGATTGCTGCTGCTGTTATTATCTTTATTTAAGGGCCGCAGACACCCCGAGGGAATATTGCTGTCCTGGTGCCATAATATTTAAAAAATGCGTTGGTGTTTACTGCGCAATCGTGTTGACTCTTCAGCTGGGAGTAGCTTCCACTTCTAAGTGATAACCTTTCTTTTTTATGGCAATAATTATGCTAACGATAACATTATTAAACTGCATGGGAATAACCCCTAAATCAAAGCAGAAAGTTGCCCCTTCAAGAAAATCGCAGTCCATCGGATACTTCTGTCCCCGGGTAAATCGATCAATTGAAGAAGTCAACGTCCTCCCTCCTCTCCCCCCCCCCCCCCCGCCAATGACTGCAAATTCGTCGGATATATATTTTTTAAGAAGATTATTTATGGTTTATTTTAGACACCAGATCATTTGGCGCTTGTTTCATCAATTTGTCACTGTTTTTATTGTCACCAATTGCCCATAACTGGAGTGCATTTAAAATGTCATTGATCTTGATATTATGGTGTCATAATATGACAGTAATAGTTGTATCTTGTACAGAAA